GCGCCCAAAGTTCTCACGATGGACTCCCGCAGGTGTTTGAAAGCTCAGACTGATAAAACTATGATTCCGGTGATCGACACGGCTTCTTCCTCGCAATCTATACACATACATGGGATGTAAACGTTTGCCGCAAATCGTGACAATAAGGATTGACAATAAATGGTCTGGCGCCTTCCTTCTTATTCTCTTCTTAAATATATTTGCAAGAGTGAAGTTACGTCTCTACTTATCAGCTTTGATTAATGATTGTGCCAAATTTCAGCCGTCCCCGCATGCTTTTAGTTCACTGGCTATTTTTGCAGAAAGTTAGAAAGAAGTTGACTATATATAACCACAACAGTACTGGATGCGTAGTTTAAAATTGCACTAAGTGGGCTAGTCCGCTGGACACACTTTTTAAAAAATGCACTCTTCCACTAGAAAGCTAAAATGTAATTTTGGAAGTTAATATTTAAAAAAAACTTGGAAATATACCTTAAAGGTGTAACAAAATCCCCGAAAAAGTATTATAGCCACCGTGCAAGAACACGGCTCCCACGTTGTATGCACTTAGTAGAGTTAGTTTCCCGGTTGGGACTTGTATTCCCATGTCACAACCAGAGATGGTAAGCCTTTTTTCAAAAAAAACTAGGCTTTCGAAGTGCAAGTTTGTATCTGCTTGCATTAGCAACGACGAAAAGGAGTAAAGCAGAATGGCACTCGTGTTGTTTGTGCACTCGCTGCCACTGTTTTCCCCTGCAGCGGACTTGTAAATTCGCAGCACTTTATGGAGATACATCCGTTCGTCTATCAAGTGTCAACCTTCAACCTATCTTATGCAGCATTTTGACCAAATTTGCAGCATCTGCGAAAGCAATCCGCAATGAAACGCGTTTTTAGAAAAACGAAGGAAAATTGCAACGAGTCAAATTTGTGTGTCTGTTGGGTTCAGAGTTAAAGGCAAAAGTAGTTTACCTTTTTTCGGGACCAGTGCGGAAAGTAAATAAGACATCACCGCTTTTAAGACTATTTTAACGAGCAGTAGCAATCTAGAGGCGCTAGAGCATGCTATGCACAGGGATACGTTAGGTGGTCCCTGAAAGTGTATTAAAAACCATCTGCGGAAATTAACAGTTTTCCAAATGTTTGGAAATCAAACGGACCTCGCTGAATTGGACTGAATTAAACTGTTTCGCCTTTTTCCTCTTCCTCAGTTTCATCTCTTTTTTCTGCTTCCCTTATTTTCCAGTTTTCTTCCATTTCTTTTTCTCCGTTTCATTTATCGCCAAGTCCCATTATCCTTGACCCTCTTACTCCCTTCTATTCTTTTCAGCTTCCCATGATTTATTATCTGGTTTTGTGTGCGCAAAATAACCTTCTGCAAACCCCGAGCTTGACATGGCCAACGGTTACATAACTGTCTACGTCTTTCCGTGCTTTCTTCCCCTCCCTACTCTTCCCCTTTCCGGATTCAACAAACCCTCATTGCCTCGTAACCAGCCGAGTACCAGCAACCCCAACACCCC